AAAAAAAAATTATTGAGCACAAAGCTAGGATCTATAGCAAGTGCTCAATAAATGGCAATGTAGTTATTATTGCTATTGTTTTATATTTCTTATAGCTCTTAATACACTACGGAGCATGTGGTAAGGCACTCCAAGTATAGTTCACAGCTAGGTCATTTAAATAGCTCCTGAAATCCCATCACTTTTATAAGGCTTCCTGTTGGCTGTCTTCTATCAGAACTGCAAAACTTTCATAGCTTCTCTGGATCATTCTTTCTGTTCCCATTATCTGTAAGGAGAGCCTTTGGTATGTATTCTGAAGTGGCTTCCAAAACAGTGATTTGAAGGATTTATTTATTTATTTTTGAGTAATGCTTTGGATCCCTTGCTACATTTTTCTAAATGTCAACAGCCAGGATTGTAATAAATAAAGCATTTTTCATGTACTTCGAATGCAGTATGTGAAAGACATAGAATAAAATCTGAGCCAGTCTGAATTGAAGATGAATAAAGTAGTTTGCCTAGTTTAACTCAGCTCAACAGACATTTATTAGTGTATCTCCCAAGTACCAGGCCTTTTATAATTGTTAGATTTACATAAAGATGAGTAAGAAATGGTTGTTTTTGAGTTTTTTCTAGGATGAATGAGGTACACAAAATCAGATCATATCAATTGTTGATTACAAAAACAAGGAAGCATGAAACATCACTATGTGTGTGTACATTGTTAATCATTAATTCGATATGTAGTATCAATCTTCGAAGATAATTATAAAATAATTATTGTGATTGGATATTTATCATCTGCTGGATCTAGTTTTCAGACATTGTTTTGTGTTCATAAAAGTAAGATAAGATAGGTATGTCATTTTGCAGGGAAAGAAACTTGAGCTTGAACATGCAGGTAATAATTGAGGGCTGGACTCAAACCTAGATTATCTGATTCTAGATGCAGCCTGGGTGCGTATTACAATATATTATTTACTCTCCCCTGTATTGCTATGGTTTCAGGAAATAATACCTCCTCCTCCTGTACTTTGCTAAAGGGCCAATTTTTCTATGAGACTCAAATTTTCCTTCAATTCTATAATATGCTAAGTGCCTCTCAAACAAGCATGCATCAGTTTCTAGGGCTTGTTAAGATTGTTGAACCCTGACATCAGTGTTCTGTTTCAGTAGGTATCAAGTGGGATTCTAGAATGCTCAGTTCTAAGACGGTCTTAAAAGATGTTTATGCTGCTGGTGTGGGAGCACTACTTTGAAGACCACTTCTTGAAGGTCTCTGGGAGATTGAAGATTTGTGGTTCAAAGGCACACATATTGAAACAAACAAATTTAATTGGTATTTCTGCTTGGAGGTACATATTCTGATCTCATTCTTTATTAATACAGACATCAAAAGGTTGTTTCTGTTACGGTAATATCCTCCTCCATAGGACTATGTCATTGTGTAAGTGTTGATGCTGTTTCTTTTGTTTCTGATTCCTGACATTAAGATGATGTGAGACTTAACTCTTCGGCCACCAGCGAGGCCCTACAGTGTCCATCTGTGACTCTAATTACCTTTTTTTTTTTTTTTAAAGATTTATTTATTTATGCATACAGAACTGGGGTACAGGCCAGAGGTGCAGGGGCAGTGAGAGGCTTCACCAGAGACAGAGTGGGGAGCAGAACAGGCAGATCGACGAAGGACACTGCTGAGGGGAGCAGTGGGCGGGTCAGGAGAGGTCTGCCACACCATGTGGTCACCTCCGGGGCCGGTGGGAATCGAATTCATGAGGAAGTGGCTTTAGATTCTCAGTGCAGTGCTTTAACCCGCTGCGCCACCAGGGAGGGCCCTAATTACCTTTTTTAACTGATAAGCTAATGTATCAGATATGCTGATCTCGGTTTCTGCTCTTTTTTTTTGTTACTGGCTTGAATTACCCTTACCCTGTTTTAACCTTTTGTTTTTTGTTTGTGTTTGTTTTTAGATTTTAAGCAAATATCTTGTATGCAAAATATAGGTGGGTCATACTTTTTAAAAGCATTTCATCATTCTGTGCCTTTTAATTGGTGAATTCAGATAGTACACTTGTAGGGTGATTATTGATATGAGTCTTGTTTACTGTCTTTTTTTTTTTTTTGGTTCTTTTACCTTTGTTTCTATTTTCATTAGTTTCTCTAGGCATTTCCTTTGAATGGCTTTCCTTTGTGGTTCTCTCATTTTTGTATTTCTTATCTTGCTACTCATAGCTGTTTGATGATTGGGTTCCATCCCAGCAGTAAAGAGGATAATAATGCACAGTTTGGCATGTTTGTTCAATCATATCTAGTGTCTGCTGAAAAATTTGAAGAGCCTGATTGAGGTGCCTGTGTAATTTACATCTTTTTTTTACTCTAGCAGATTTTAATATTTTTTCATTATTTTTTTATTTTTGAATAATTTACAATTATGTGGCTTGGTGAAGGTTGCTGAACATTTAGGAAGGTGAGTGTTCTGCTTTCTGGATATCCATTTTTACTTTCCATAAGTTTCAAATTTCTCAGCTATCATTTCTTTGAATAGGTTCTCTCTCGTTTGCTTCTCCTCTGACATACCTATTTATTTATATTTCCTCTTCTAACTGAGTGGTATTTCTTGTAGTTTTCTCATTTTCCCTAAATCTTCTTGCTTTCTTCTCTTCCACTTGGGTCATTTGTAGATTTTGTGTTTATTTTCAAAAGTCCCTCATCTACCAGCTCAAGTCCATTTATCCTCATTTCAGCCATATCTCTCTCTCTCTCTCTCTATTTTAAATATTTATTTATTTATGCATATAGAACTGGAGTACAGGCCAGAGGTTCAGGGGTGGTGAGAAGATTGACCAGAGACAGAGTGAGGAGCATAACAGGCCAACTGATGAAGTACACTGCAGAGGGAGCAGCGGGTGGGTGAGGAGAGATCTGCCTCGCCATGTGGGTCACCTCTGCGGCAGGCAAGGATCGAACTCATGGGGAAGTGGCTTTAGCTTCTTAGTGCTGTGCTTTAACCCATTGTGCCAACAGGGAGGGCCCTACTCTTGTATTCTTAATCCAATACTGTAATAAGAATGTTATCTATTCTAGTCAGTTTAACTTCATTTTGGATAAATTGTTCTTTAAATTTCAAAACTGTGTGCTGTATTGATACTGCTATACCTATCCAATATAATATGGAATTATTACTAAAGGATTTAATTTATATGTTCACTATAGGATAGAGACAACAAATTAACTGGAGGATTGATCTTTTATTTTACCTGAATGTGTAGCTTAGTTTTTCAATTATATTTTTTCCTTTGTGTATAGCATACTAATAGAACATGAAAAATTATAGCTACTTGATTCCTCACATTAGGGATACTGTAATATCATGGTATTCATCATTATCATCATCTCAGTGCATTTTAAGAATTGTGAATGTCATATTAATATTTATTAATTATCTAGCGTTAAGTAATTAACATATTATCTAATGTTAATCTATGTATTAATTATATAATGTAATATCATGTATCTAATGTAGTATCTATGCATTAATTATCCTAATGTTATTAGATGACATTTGAAAATCAATCTATAGCTTGGGAAGTCAATGATTAGTATTTTTCAACTCTAAAAGTGCTTAATACTATTACTTATAGAAAACTGGTACTGAGGTGTGTCTGTGTACTTGATCTGTGTATGACTCAAGTCTGTGTCATTTGAATGTATGTGACTGATGTATTATGAAGAAGAGAGCTTGTAATACATAACAGGTTTGTTATATTTCTGAGTAGGGAACAATGATGCTTTGTAAAGAGTTGTGACTGTTCTCAGTGAACTTAGGAGATAGAGGCACATAGTAAATGTAAATAAATCCTTAAAAGCACAAGCTTCTTCTAAATAATTTTAAAAAATTGAGAAGTATATGTGTACTGATTCATAGTAATCTGATAGCCTTACCACTTTACCCCTTGGGGAAAAACTTAGCTATGACATATTTGTGATAATGTGGTTGATTAAAATCACTGTATTTATAAAGGAATAATTACCTCATTTCTTCTAATTCTTCTTTAGGTCGAGATTTAATTTGTATACAATCAATGGATGGGATGCTGATGGTGTTTGAGCAGGAAAGCTATGCTTTTGGGAGATTTCTGCCTGGTTCTCTTCTACCTGGTCCTCTTGCTTACAGTTCCCGTACAGATTCCTTTATTACTGTCTCTTCTTGTCAACAAGTGGAAAGTTACAAGTAAGTTTGGATGATGAATCTTCGGAATTGTGATTTTTTTCTTTTTGGTCAATATTTTTTCATAATGAGCTTGAATATTAAAAAATTAGGGAATTTTTTAATAAAATATACTTATGATGACTTAGAGAATATTATTTACATATTGTAAAATATTTGATATATACTACGATGTAGATATTTGAGAGTAGGTTTTTGATGGGAGGGAGGCGTGGATTGGAATCCTTATCTTGCTACTCATAGCTCTTTGATGATTGGGTTCCATCCCGGCAGTAAAGAGGATAATAATGCACAGTTTGGCATGCTTGTTTAAAAGATGAACTGTGTCGAGTTGTCATCTCATAGAACAAGCTTAATATTTATTCTGATTTTCCCTGTTTCACAGTGAGTGAAAAAAGCTAGATACAAGATGTATATGTGGATATTTCTTTAGCAATAAAAGAATGTGTGTAACACAGGAAGAACACTAGCAAGAACAAATGTTTTGTGATTGTTAATCATTTAAAAAAAATCATAATAGTATGAAAAGGACCCTATAAAACAGTTTATATTTTTTTACTGAAACTCTTACTGATTTTGGCTAATTGTGTTTTAGAGAGACTTCTTTCTCTTCCACCACCTAAATGTCCATAAAAATCAAGGTTTTGAGTTTTTGCAGGGCATTTTTTTTTTTAAACAGTAAGATAGAGAAAAAAAAGTAAAAATTCTTTCTGGGAGATGAAATAAACATGGATTACAACATCTTCAGTGATTTTATTGTTGTTATTTTACTGATGGTAACATTTAGAACTTTAACCATCTAAGCAACACATCATTTTAACTCTTCAGTATTATTTTTGGCCATATGATTTTCCCCAAGGCAGGAAAAGAGTAAAAATTCATCAGTTATCAACTGTAAATTTTGTTCTTTAAGTTTTAGTGTTGTCTCATTGCAAGTTAATATAGTTTTCCATAAATGGAAAACTCTGAAAACAGGCAGATGTTTGTGACTGAGCAGAAGTTAACTGATGAAAGTGGTGTATCATTATGTCTTATTCTTTCCATAACTTCTGTGATTTGTCTAAAGGAGAGGAGTGAATTATGACACTTCTCCTGCTAATAAATAAAATATAGTATCTGTGTTGAAAAATTGAGAGTGATATACATATAACTCCTTCAAGTTTGCCGAAGCTCAAGCAACATTGAAGAGACCTGCTTTTCAGCTTCCACCCAGCTGTGTCGCAGTTACTGCCAGTTGCTTGTACAGTTGTATTGGTGCTACCAATACTAGGGTCACAACACAAAGATTTGAATGCTCCGTGACTTGCTCTTTGACATATGTATATAGGAATTAATTTGTAGTAACTCCAGGAATGATTACATAAGGAAGCTATGTGTAATTTTCCTTAATATGTGAGTTTAATCTCATATTAAACTGTTTTGTTTCAATTGTGGTAAATTTCCAACATACCAGTCTATTAAATACATCTCCATTCAGGATCAGAAACAGTGGTGGGAGGGAAATGCATTGGACCATGGTGATGGCACATGGACAATTTGGTGATGGGAAACCCACGGAGATTACAACTGAGATGAAAAAGTGCACAAAATGATGTAAAAATCAACTATCATATTATTTTAAAAAAGTACATCTCCATTCAGGACTTTATCCATTAGTTGGCACTTTTATAATGGTGAAGATGCCTGGGATATGCTATTATTATGACTTGATGACAAACAGTCAACAGGGTTTATAGCATTAAATAGTGATGTGTGTGTATATATATTTTCAAGTTTAATAGATAAAATTAAAAGATGATCCCTGGTATTTAGATAGAAGAAACATGAAAACTGTAGGCTGATTCTCTTGCGGCTTCATTAAATCTATTTATATGTAGTTAATAGAAAGTAATCAGTTGCTAGAAAAGTGTTTTAAGACATAATCAGGTTCATTTCTGATTCTGGCTTTTAATTACTTTAAAACAATCTCAATTATATAAATGAAGTTCCAATTTGAAGTAGCTGGGTTTGAATCGGCCCGATGCTTTTCATTGCCTGATGAAAAGGTGCTTCACTCTAATCCTACTTAGTTACTTAACGCAGAGGAATAAATCTAGTCACTGCTGCCATGTCCGTGCTCTCTCTGAAGTCACTAACCAAACTGGGCAGTTTGCAGATTCCCACCCTCTGATGTCCCAGATTTTGATTTAGTAGGTTTGGGGGTAAGACCCAGAAACTATCATTGCAAACATCTACTCCAGGTGATTCTAATTCAGGGGCACATTTTGAGCATTGCTTTGCTTTTGAAATGAGGGAGTTTGCTTTCTTTTGCAGGGTAGGGGCTCCATTCTCTTGGCTATGCTTGTCCAAACTTTAGGTCATCTCTTTTTCTTTCCTTTACCGATAAGAATTATGGGTAAAGGTAAATTCTCACCTTTTTTTTTTTCTTTTGATTTTTTCCTCTTATTCAGCCCTTGCTTCTCATTTCCACTGGTATAGGCTCTTTTTCTCATTTGACTTTCTGGTATCCTTACCTCTGTATCTAGCTTTGGATAGGATGCCAAGGAGGTCTAAAGGTAGGACTTTTAAACAGAGTCAAATGTAGGGATGCTTCCTGAAGAAGCATATCTGCCATGAGTTTTTTTTTTTTTCTCTTTTCTTTTTGCTATAAAAATACTACTTTTCTTTTTGCTATAAAAATACTACTAAAAAGTAGGCTTTATTAGAAAATAGGCTACATTAGAAAATAGGCTTTACATATTTTAAAATGTATTTGTTAAATTAAAAAAAATCCAAATATTTAAATATCCTGTATTTATTTACTTAATGTTTTATTTACATATTTTAAAAAGAAGACTGTTGTCTTCACCAGTCTTAAGATCTTGGAAATTGAATTATTTGGTATTTTTTTTTATATGCGTTTCGGGCTTTTCTCTCCCCTTTTGTTCATGCTATTTGTATCTGAAATGCTCTTCCTTTCTTCTCTGTATATGAAAACTATGCTGGAAATCTCCCTTTCTCATTCAGTTCTTTGCTGACCCAGCCATTAGTAGTGTCTTATCTCCAATTCACAGGTTAGATTAGCTCTGTTTTCCATAGTACTATTCACACTTTCATTGATATTAAATATTTGCCAGTTTTTTTCCCCTTCCCTCTGGCCAGACTAAATGCTCTATGATGGCAGAAATTTTGTATCTACTGAAATGCCTAGTTTGGTACTTAGCTAAAAGTAGATGTTTAGCAAGAACTTGATGAAGGAGTGAAAAGTTTGTATGGAAAACATGTGTTTTGTTACTGCAGCTCTCAGTTAAAATGATTCTCCATAATAATTGAGAATGTTTTACCTGTAGTTGGAGTGAACACAGTAATGCTCTGTATCCAGGGCTTTCATTTCAGGTTGTGGTCTCTGGGTTAAATAACAAGATTCCAAAATCTCTTGGTAACCCTTGAGGTAATAACTATATTTCATTTGAAAATAAATGATTTTGGAGGGTTTACTTTTGTACTCACCTCAAGCCATATTTTAGATACTTGCTGCTGTTTTTACGATGTGATATGGAGGAGCACTAAATTATATGGCTGAGTTTGTCACTGGCATTCCATAGGACCTGTTAAACTTTTGTGGCTATTAGGTCAAAGAGAACTACCATTCTCCTGGACTTGATGTATTTGTGATTAGCACCTTTCTGTTCTGAGAAATATATGACACTCTTTTCATGAAATCTTATTATTTTGGGTCTGATTATTCTTTCAGCAGTCTCAACAGGACATTTTATTATTTAGCTTGTAGCACTGAATACCTGAATGGTAAGGAAAAAACCCCAGTGTTTGCAAGTTTACTTGAAATTGTTTCATTTTGGAAGTAGATTTCCATGTACATTATTGGTCAAAGTTCAGAGGATTTAAGGAAGAACCATAAAATAGATGCTATGGTAAGTTTGTCATCATCTAAATTTACTGTCAGTTACATTTAGTAATAAAATACTCTTCTGAGTTATCTTCCAGGAAGAGAAATGACCTGGATTTGGAAATCAGGAGTCAATTTTGGCTGTGTCTCTGCCTGCTGTTTTGATGTTAATGAGGTTCACTTTAGGGGCTCACTTATTCATCAGATGAAATAATAACTCTGTAGTTATATAAGAAGCTTCAAACAGCTCAAAAGCTTTGGATTTTTGCAACAATCTCATTAATATCCCTATCATCCGGTAGGTTGGTATCTGCAGGAAATTAAATGCCTATGTAATTAATTGCCTGAGGTTAGATCCATAGCAGGACCAGCTCTGGGTTGATATGCTAGTCACTAGTGCATATGATATCTGTTACAATGAACTTGGAGAGTAAAACAATCCCTCACCAATTCTGGAGGCTGGAATGAGAGGTCTAATTACTTGGTGCTTTTGGATACTTGGGGGTTTTAAAGGTTAGTCCAGATGGTATGAAGACCTTTGCTACAGCTGCCTATGGAATTTTTTTTACCGTGGTTTTACAAGGCTGAGAGCTTCACTCTCCCACCTTTTTTTGTCTCATTTGCTATGACTCATTCCTCCCCACCATATATCCCTTCTAAACTCCTTCGTGGCCTTTCATGTCTCTTTTCCTGCTGCATGCCTTTGCATGTATTGTTGGTTTTGCCATAATACATTTACTTCTTTACCAGCACGATGAGTTTTCACTCATTTTTTTTAAACGTAGCTTTCTCCTCCTGAGCCTATACCAAGAACATAATGTATTGCCTCCATTCCAGTTGCTTGTTTTTGCTAGCATGTATCCCTGGTACTGTGTGTATGCCTTCTGTTAATGCTTTGGGTACTCTGAGTTACACGTATTGTGTGTGTATGAATCTCCACAACTATTTTGCAAGGACCTGATGGATAAAGTCTATGTTGTAGTTTTTCCCAAGGTCAGTGCTTGTGTTAGAGTCCTATTGTAAGTTGCTTGAATGAATGAAATTGATTGACATTAATGTTTCACATGGACTGGAAGACTGATTTCTGTGAATGACTTGCAGTTTGCCTTAATTAGTAGTTTTCCATAGCCACTAAAATTAAGATGGGGTTGTTTAAGGATTAGTATTTGACATTTGAATGCCAGTATACATTTCAGTGCTTTTTTTTTTTTTTTTTAGATATTACATATTGCTGTTACTCATTCAGGTTTTTGATGTTTACACTGACATATTCTCTTAGACAATATGTCTCAATATTTGTATTTACTAGTGTTTCCTATGGAAGAACAATGCAAGAGATTTTGACTCAATAGGACGGAACACATTTTATGAGCCTGAAGTTTCTTAATTTAGATTAGGATTATTTTTATTTTTATTATTTTTTAAAAGATTTATTTATTTATTCATACAGAACTGGGGTACAGGCCAGAGATGCAGAGGGTGAGAGGATTCACCAGAGACAGAGTAGGGAGCAGAACAGGCAGATCGTTGAAGTATACTCTGAGGGGAGCAGTGGGTGGGTCAGGAGAGGGCTGCCCCACCGTGTGGTCACCTCCGGGGCAGGCGGGGATAGAACTCATGCGGAAGTGACTTAAGCTTCTTAGTGCCGTGCTTTAACCCGCTGCGCCACCAGAGAGGGCCTAGACTAGGATTATTACTCTAACAATATAGCATTAATTAATGGAAAATAAGGGAACTAAATCTCTAGTTGCAAAATTAATCATTTGTAGATTAAATAAGGTGTATAAATTATTTTAGAGAATGATTTGAGCTACATGTTAGTATTGAAACGGAATCTGTAAAATGCTTATAGGTACATTACTGAGAATTTATGACAGATAAAGAAACTACAAGGTGATTGATCTGTGTATATATCTATATCTCTGCAAAGTTTCAGTAATTGGGTGCCTAAGATATACCTGTATGAAGCACTAAATACTTAAAAATTTTTAACAATGCTTGAGTTGGAGATTGTTACCATTTAAAAGTTCATTAGTTTTGTGTGATTGTTACCATTTTTTAGATAGTAAAGATAAAGCACAGTGATTATCTTGCTAAAATTCACTCAGTTAGTAAGTGATTTAGCTGAGGACTGAGCTCAGGTCTTCTGGGTTCCATAGATTGTCCAATAATAATTACTGCTATCTCTGGCTCTTCTGCATTATTTACATTTTTTTCCTGTTTGATACTTTGATACTAAAGCTGATTTGAGTGTTATTTGTCACATAAAATCTAAGGGAAATACTTTGATAGTTGGCAGAACTGTTTTCCCAATATTGCATTTTGGGACATATGTTTATAATTTCTTTATCATGACAGTTTTATATAGTTTTATGTCATAGTAACATACAATAAGAATTCAGCCTTAAATCTTATAGTTTTAAAATCAAGGAAAAAAATGATGTATACTACTTATAGGTTAGGTGCTTTTAATTTTTTGTTTTTTACATTTACTGAGATTACGCATTTTTAGAGTTTAACATAATTTGTAACTTTTAACTATAAAGTCTCTTACAGTTATTCCATATCTCTCAAACAGGTACCAAGTACTTGCTTTTGCAACGGATGCAGATAAAAGAAAGGAGACTGAACAGCAAAAACTTGGTTCTGGAAAAAGACTAGTTGTAAGGCCTTTTTTTTTAATAACTAAAAATGCAGATGTTTGTTAAGAATAATAATTCTTGAGAAGAAAAAGTAAAAATAGATGATTTCAGTTATTTCTCATTTCTATTGTGACTATGTCAATGATCAAAGAGTTTAGTTGACTATTACTGAGTAATAGAGAAACATGCTTGGTCACAGGCTTATTAATAATTTAGATCATAGAGGGTCAGTTTTAATTAAAATTATTATAACTAAAAAAAAATTCTTTTAATGAATAAAAAGCTACTATTAGTAAGTATGTGATAAAAATGCAAGCTTACAAAGATAAATCAGAAGTTCTCACTTTAATGGAAATTAGGCAGTAAGTGAGCGCTTCTTACCCTCATAGACAGGCAGGCAAAAAATAGAAGAAAGTGAAAATTATGATGATAACAGTAAAGTGAATTTGAGAAGGACACATGTGGAAAGAACTGAGTAAATTATGTGGAATTTAGAGTATGAAAGAAATAAGAATATTTGAGAGGATTAATTTCCTATAATAAAATACAAAATTAAGGAGGTAGTAGGGAGAAAGACTAACTTGGAAGAAATCAAGAATGAGACGAAAACATATTTTCTTAGTGGTAGTAAAAGGTGCAAGAGAGAACATAATAAATGCAAATATGATGTAACTGCAGAGTGAAGAGATGTAGTTACTAGTAACCGTTAAAGCATAAACGTTGAGTCAGAGCTAGTGAGATACATTTAACTACTTATTTTGATTAAGTATAGCCAGTTTGGCACCTTTGACAGTTGCAAAGGTCTGAGAATACCTACTTTATAATGTTGCCATTAGAAATAAATAGAGCTATGTAGAGCATTTAACGAAAAGGGTGATGAAAATGGCTGAGATAACATGATCAAAATGCCCTTGTATTTGTTCTTTATATTCTACACTCTGACCATGGGGACTTCTCATTGGTTCAAATATTCTGTGACTCTTTGTTTCTAGGCTTCTGCACTGGTTTCCTTCAGTCTGAAATAATCTTTCACTCATGGGTAATTGTTAACAAAGTTCTGTACTAACTTATACTGAAGATGTATTCTGGATGCCATTATGCTTGAGTGATTTTCCCATTTGTATTAATTAATGAATAGTGTGAGAAATAGAAGTAAAACTTCCTTTCATTACACCACATTCACTTGGCAGGACTGTGATTCCATGGAACATTATTAAATATATTACAGGGAAACAGGATTTATCCGGTAACATGCTTTTAATGTAGTACTTGTGGGAAGGTTGTTAATAGCTGCCTGTTTCTCAGAGCTATCTTTTAACTATTTGTTGGTTCCCAATTTAATCGGTTGTGGTCAGAGAAATGTATTTTGAGACTTTGATTCTTTTAAATTATGAGCTTTGTTTTGCAGCCTAGAATTATTGTATCAGGACATCATTTTATCATTTTTTCCTTGTATATTTTGAAATTCTGGTACTTGTTTTATAAACATTTAAGATTGCTATGTCTCTTGATGAACTTACCACCCTTTTTTCATCTTACCCTTTCTTTATCCTTTTTCTGTAGTAATATTCTTTGAATTTGTTAATAACATAGTTAATAACATATTTTTCATTTGATTAGTGTCATTCTGTGTCTTTATATTTAAAGTGCACTTTTTTAGGTCATATATAGTTTCTAATTTGATATGCTCTACCTTTTAGTTAGGTTTTTAAGACTAATTACATTTCAGGTGATTTTTCACGAAGACAGGCTTAAGTCTGTCACTTGACTATTTGATTTCTGTTTGTACCATCATTCCTTTTCTCCTTTTTCCTATTTTCTGCTTTCTTTTTGGAGTTACTCAGTCATTTTTAGGATTCACTTTTGTCTTTGTTGGCTTATTAATCACAATTCTTTGTTTTGTTATTTAGTGGTTGCTTTACAGTTGGGAGCATGTATCTTTAACTTATCACACTGTACTTTCAGGTGATGTTGTACCACCACACACACTTCTGTTTCTCATTTTCCAGTGTTGGTGCTATTACCACATATTCAAATTTTCCATATACTATAAGCCCCACGTTACATTGTCATTATTTTTGTTTAGATAGCCAGCATCTTTCAGTGATATTTAACTCATAAGAAAAATACGTATTTATCCATGTAGTTGCCATTTCTAGTGTTTTTCATTATTTTGGGTAGCTCTGTATTTCCAATGGTGTCATTTTCTTTCTTCCTAAAAGAAGTCCTTTCACATTTCATTAAGTGTGGGTGCTTTGGTGATTAATTCTTTAGTTTTGTTATGTGTGAAAAAATATTTTTGCCTTTATGTTCAAATTATATTCTTTGGGCATAAAACTTTAGCTTGATAGATTTCCACCCCACTACTGTATAACAGGTTGCTCCACGGTCTTCTTGTTTGCATTACCTTATGAGAATTCTGCATTCCTACTTATCTTTGTTCCTTGTCTTTTTTCACTGACTGCTTTTCTGACTTTCTCCTATCACTTGCATTGAGTAATTAAATTGCAATGCTCATATCTCTCTTCTTTGTGCTGTGCTTAGGAATTGTTGAGCTTCTTGTATCTGAGTTTATAGTTTACATGAAATTTAGAAAAATTTTGGATTTTAATTTTTTTTAAAGATTTATTTATTTATTCATACAGAACTGGGGTACAGGCCAGAGATGCAGAGGGTGAGAGGATTCACCAGGGACAGAGTGGGGAGCAGAACAGGCAGATCTATGAAGTACACTGCTGAGGGGAGCAGCGGGCGGGTCAGGAGAGGTCTGCTGCGCCATGTGGATCTCCTCCAGGGCAGGCGGGAATCGAACTCATGCAGAAGTGGCTTAAGCCTCTTAGGGCTGTGCTTCAACCCGCTGCGCCACCAGGGAGGGCCAGCTTTTAATTTTTTAAAGATTTTTTTCCTGTCCACTATCTCTCTCTCCTGACTTGGAAACTCCAGTGACATATCTACTTAGGCTACTTGAAGTTGACACAGTGCACAGATTTTTTTCCCCCCCATTTTTAAAAATATATATATATTTTATTTCATTTTGGGTGATATTTTTAATGGCGGTGACTACTTTATTCCTACAATGTCTAATCTAGTAGTAATTCCCATCTGACATAATTTTCATCTCTGAAACTTCAATTTGGGTGATTTTTTTTTATATCTTTTATGTGTGTAAATTTTTGACTAGTATACTATGTAGCATATTTTGAAATCAGGTAATATGGAGCTTCTAGCTTTGTTCATTTTATGCAACATTTTGGCTGTTTAGAGTCTTACAGCTCCATATGAATTTTGGATTTTTTGTTTCTATTTCTGTGAAAAATGTCATTAGAATTTTGATAGGGATTAAAATAGGCATGTTATAACATGGGTATTTTAATTTTAATAATCCATGAACACAGCATATATTTACTTTTATTTTTGTTTTCAATTCCTTTCATCAGTATGCACCTCGTCAATGTGCAGGGTTTTCACTTCTTTGTTTAAATTTATTGAATCACTGATAAGCTAATATCCTTTGGCCAAAGATGGTTCAAATATCCTTTAGAATTTTTTCTAACATGTTTTGTTTTTAGCAACTAATTTAATCTGGGTTTTGTTTTACAGGTGGATTGGACTCTCAATATTGGGGAGCAAGCCCTTGATATATGTATTGTCTCTTTTAATCAGTCCACATCATCTGTTTTTGTCCTTGGTGAGAGAAACTTCTTTTGCCTGAAGGATAATGGACAAATTCGATTCATGAAGAAACTTGATAGTAGCCCAAGTTGTTTTCTCCCATATTGCTCAGGTGTGTAGAAAGATTTTCTTTTATTTTTCCCATGTTAGTCTATGTTATATATATCAGAAAAAGCAATACTCAATGCATGTATTTTAAACTCTAGAAAAATAATCTTATACTGAATATGTAATGGAAATTTTAGCCTTTACAGTTTGAATAGAATTTTGCTATAAAGTACACATTTGGTTTTGTCAGTCATTTTGCTTTGAACAAAATGGCTTTTAGACTTGGCTTCCAGTATACATTAGTGCTTTCCAAAATGTGACTTCACGATGCTTCCAAGAGAACATCAGACTCTTTTGTAATCATAATGCAGCATAGCAATGTCTAATAGAATGACTTATCGATAGTGAATGCCCAGTAAATCATTAGCTTACATGTATTAAAATATTAATGCAATTCAAATTTTCTAGATGGAATGCAAACATATTGGCCTCTATCTAGTTATAGTTTCCAAGTATCCAAAATAATTTTTTCTTATTGATATTGGTAGTTTGAAGTTGGAAAATGTTTTATTATTTAAAGCCTTTAAGCATTAGGAATAAGGTATTAGGATTAGTTTGTATCATTAACCCCTTAAAAGGGACATAATATAATTTTGTAAATGACTGTTTTCTTATTATCCTTTTTCTGTCTTCAACCTACAGTTTCTGAAGGAACAATAAATACTTTGATTGGAAACCATAATAGCATGTTGCATATTTATCAGGATGTGACACTGAAGTGGGCCACTCAGCTTCCTCACATTCCTGTAGCAGTAAGAGTGGGCTGTTTGCAGTAAGTGATTTAACTTAATGGTTTTTTAAATGAGGCTCTTAGTCAAGGAAGTCTCTAGAAGTTTTATAATACAAATGGCAACTGATTTCACTAAAAAGTGACAAGTGATCTTGAAGTATGAATGTCAAAAACATAAATAATTAAAACGTAACTTACTGGGAAACAGAATGAAAAAGCTTTAACACTATCAATCACTTTTCATTTACTATCTTTTCTAAGATATCTTTTGGACATTAAAAAATTTGAGAAAATGATAACTTATTTTCTTTAAAATTAAATAAGATTTCCTCAAGCATATAATGATCTCCTATAGAGATTTTTTTTATAGGCTGTGGTAATAGAACACTTCAGAACTTACTTCAGATCTTCTTATGCCCAGTAGTGTGGAATTGCTAATGATTAGAGGTTTAAAACAATTTAGATTTTAAATAGGATCACTTTGCATTTAAAATGAAAGATAAAATCTGTATCTTAATATTAAAAATTGTAAAAAATAAGAGAATAAGAACTACAAGTATGTTATTTTCTGGATCATCAGTATAGAGGGTAAGATCCTAGTTAACTCTTGCATCTCATTATTTTTTGTTTAGTAATTGAAAATCTCAGTAAGTATAAAAACACAGCTTTCTTTAAACTGTTATAGATTCTCAGTCTATTTACGTATGTTTTTTAGACCATTTGATTGCACATTTAAAAACCATATATATATAAAATGCTTCACTGACATCTATACTATTTCATTAATACCTCTAATACTCCCAAACTAAAAGGTTGAAATTCTATTATTGTTGATAGAGAAAAACATTAATATTTGTATTAATAGTTAATCTAAGGTCTAAATATTGTAAAATGGTGACTCTTTTGGAAATACTGAATATTTAAAAAATAAGTTTTTTTTCCTCATGTTTCATGAGGAAATACCCTCATGAAATAGTTGTGCATACTTAAAACCAATTTTAGTTACTTTGTATATAAAAAATTAAAACTTTTGAGATTGATTTTTACCATCAGATGGTTATTTTAGATGAATGAAACACTGAGACTCTGCCAACATTTTGCAACAGATTTACTTAGAAGGACTTAGAACAGTAAAAACATCTTGCCAGCAAGGCAACATCCAGTATTTCTCTTCTGGGAGAGTAATTCTCGCAGCAGTCCATATATCCACCCAAGAACTGCTCTTTTTGGTCCCACCAAGTGACAGCTGAGGTGTCAGAAGACAGATTCATAGTTGTAGGTATGAGGCCTTTCCTGGCTGATTGTCTCCTTTTCCCTCAGTTGTCAATATCTCTATACTCAAAAGCCATTGTGGTTGGTGTATATGTTAGGGCACAGTGGAATGAAAGCTAGAATACCTTATAAGAACATTTAGTTGAAATACTTATCTTGCACATATTTATTTATAAGGGATGTATCTATTCACCATATTCTGGGTAACTTAGTGAAGTGACTTCTCAGTAGATACTTATGGTTAATTTATTAATAGTGTATGGTCCAATGTAACTTAAAAGCCAAGAATTCAATAGTAACTGAAATTAATATGAATAAAAAGCTGAATTTCCATATTGTATGCATCAAGATGCTTATATTCTAAAGCAGACTGTCATATCTAAGCTAGGTTATGTTGGCTTCCTATTTATCATAATTTTTTTCAAGATCATAATTCTAAACATTTAAATACAAATAATGCCATGAAAGTTTTCTCCAGTTAATCAATATAGCAATAAATTCTATTCAATGAGAGATTTTTTAATAGACTTTTCCAGAACAATTTGAATTTTATTTTCATTTTCATTAGATTTTAAAAGTGATTATTCCCAGCTTAGCTTTAGCATGTTTACTATTATTATTTGAAATTAGAAACACTGAAGTAATTTTGTTTTTACTTTTATTATCTCTAGGATAAACATTTTTTTCTTTTTTTTGGTAGACATTTTCTTTGTTAAATGTGTTCATTTGTACAGGGAATTGCTGTTATTTTAAAGTCTCTTTTCAGTGAATATTAAATACTGGATTTTGGTCAAATGGTTGAAATTATACTTAATAATGATATTTTAGTTGGAGACTAATATGCTTTATTTCCTATTCCCACCTACTTGGCAGTCAAAGTCCTCTTTACCTTGTTTATTATAAACCATTTCTAAATCTGTCTGTGCTTCCTTCTTTCTTTCCAGGTTAAATATTGCATTCTTGAATTTAAATAGTGTTCCTTTTGTTCAGCTATTTAAATTTTTGTGAATTAGACTCTGGAAATGTGAGATAAATATATAATTATAGAATCAAAGACTCTTAATGTGATAATGTTCTTTAAATTCTTGAGCTGCTGTTTTCCTTTTATGGTGTAAAGTAGCTATTGAAGCCTGACCATGTGTCTTCCCTCTGCCATGGCCAGTTTCCCAAATGACAAAACAGCAGCAACAACAACAAAACCATCATTTATTGGTAGTGTTATTCACTCGAGATATGTTTATCTATTTGGATAAATATTTATAAAAAGATTTATTTATTTATGCATATAGAAATTGGGTACAGGCCAGAGGTGCAGGGATGGTGAGAGAATATTTGGTGACTGGGAGGGTGCCCCTCAGCATGGTAGGGTCTTTTATACCAAAATGCTCATGGTAGGGTCTTTTATACCAAATATAGCTTGCTAAGGGACCTCCATCTGTTGAATACATGCATGGAGAGGTTGCTTGCTAAAGATCAGCACAGGAAGAAACTGGGAACCTTGCTTGACCCCATAACACCATTTTCTACCTTTTCTTTGAGCTTGTGTTTATCTTGGGTCTCCTGCAGATGGCAGAAAATTGAGCTTTCTTTTCTTTTTTTTTTAAAGATTTATTTATTTATGCATACAGAACTGGGGTACAGGCCAGAGGCTGTGAGAGGCTTCACCAGAGACAGTGGGGAGCAGAACAGGCAGATCGACGAAGTACACTGCTGAGGGGAGCAGTGGGCGGGTCAGGAGGGGTCTGCCACGCCATGTGGTCACCTCCGGGGCAGGCGGGAATCGAACTCTTGCCGCAGCGGCTTTAGATTCTCAGTGCTGTGATTTAACCCGCTGCACCACCAGGGAGGGCCCCGGGCTTCATTTTCACTCTATGCCTTTTGATTGGTGAGTTTTCACCACCCATGTTTAGAATTACTGATTTACAAGTATTTATACCATTGTGCTATTTTTTTGTGTGTGGATAATTGTGCAGTTTGTCTTTGTTCTCTTGTTGTTCCCTCCTCCCTCCAGTACTTTGTTAGCTGCCTTCATGTAGAGCTTGGATTCTATTTTCATCTTATTTGCTTCTTTTCTTTTAAATTTTGAAAATAATTTCTGTTCAAACTAAAGATGTTGATTTTGTCTTTTGTAAAAGTGAAGATAAAACTCTTCTGTATAAATGTATGGTTCTTGGATGGTGCCTACGGTATTGATTTTACCCAGAAAAATTTTGTTTTTTGTAATTGGATATCTCATTATCTTCCCTATTCTCATTTTGTGCAGTTTTCATTAATGCTAACTTCCATTTCAATGAAAAAATCTGCATAAATTGGTGAGATTTGAGATAGTGAGTTTTTTCCTTAAGGCGATTGTTTTCTTAACTCCCCCTACTCCCCATCGTAAGTGTAGCATTTATATTCCTTTGGTGACTTTTAGAAATTGCGTAATTTATGCTTTGGTATTATAATTAAGTTTAACTTACTGCATGTATTGTGTTTTTGTTTGTTGCATTTCAGTCTGTTTACTATTATTTTTTCCTGAAAAATTTGCCCCTTTTCCCTGTTCCTGTTGTCAAACAGGAAGGTCAAAATTTTATTTTTCATATTAATATTGATAAATCAGTTTTTGAGACACATACTTGTGACCTAAGAAGAATGGTTATACTTTATGTGGGTTTCTAATTAGGAAGGTTAAATATGAAATGTTGGCCTCTGTCAAAAAGGAGGTTTTAATCTGGGTTGCCCGGCTTAATGTAACGCAATTTTTAAAGCTTAGTGTAAAGAATTGTAGAGGAAGACCAGTACTGATCATATTTAGTATTTTTGCCCTTAATATCTGTATCTCAGGAATTGTGATTTGTATAAATTGTTTATGTGAATGCTAAATATCAAAGCATTTTTGGATAAAATCAATGGCATTACTTTTGATGGCCGTCATTATTACTGGCATGCATGTATTCACATTGTGTGAGGTAAAGGTCCTTAATGTGGTGGTCTTTAGATTTAATGTTGCTTGGATTTTATATTGATAGAACACAAACTGTGTTTAGCCATGTGGTTGTCATGTGATCTGTCATTTGGCATGGCACTTTTATAAATTGCAGTATAACTACCCTGATAAATATTTTATTCACTTTTAAAAGACATGTAGAAGTCATATAAATAAGGTAAAACCTTATCTTTATTTATTTATTTATTTATTTGGTCATGTGGGGTGAGTTTCAGAAAAACTCTACTTATAAAATAAAAGTTGTAAGTCTTCTACTTGGTTTCATTATCATATTTTTATGTAATAATGTAAAATCTAGAATTCTCCATTTCAATGAAAAGTTTAATAGTAATTACAGTACCAGATAGCTGTTAGATTCAACAATAAGTCTGTTTAATTTGCTTTCCAGGGTTTTCAGAAAAACTATATAGCCATCCGAGAAAATAACAAAAATAATGAACAACCATATACCACAGACATTTTGTGGGGGTGGAGTGGGGAATGGGATCAAAAAGGGGAGGGTGGGGAAGGAAATGCACGGGATTATGGTGATGGCACACGGGTGACTTGGTGATGGGAAACCCGCGGGCATTACAATTGAGATGGAAAAAAAAATGTACAAAATGATGTGAAAAAAAAAAAAGCACTTAGAATGATAGGTCCCTCCCTGGTGGCACAAAAGTTTGAGGAGAAGCATTGTGAAGCTATCTGCAGCCACTGCAGCATGATTTTGATGCCTGACCAGAGAGCTGACCTACATGGTATAGCAGACCTCTCCTGTCTCTCCTGCTGGTCCCCTCAG